GAGATATAATTAAAACTAAAGCAATATAAAATAAATACGTAAAATACATAAATTGCGCGCGAGCGTCGCTATTCCTAGATCTCGATTATATTTACGTATATCGATAAAAGTGAAGAGAGACGGCGAGATTATTTTCGAACTTGATGAATAAAAGTTAATGCAATTTAGCAAAATCGAGTCGAGTTACCAAATATAGTGAGAATAATGAGCTAAATCGAATTTTCCAATATATGTAGCAAAAATCTTGAATACTTTAAAATATTGTTCAAAATTAAATGGTTTTTTAAGTCTTGAGTGTTTTGAATTTCTTTCTTTCTTTTATAACTTTCTTTTATAACGTTTAAACATTTTAAAGCATTTTAAAACAAGCATTTTAGATATTTAGTCTACAATTTCTGAGGAATTTTTTAGACATTTGCAAAAAGGCATACAAAGTTCCCAATTTATCAACAGAATTTTACTAATAATAATTCAAATCAATTCGAATCTCTGTCGAGCGAATTGTTCGAAAACTTTCGAGGGAAGAATTCGAATAATCGTTTGGATGAAAGAGATTTTATGCTTGCTCGAAAGGATCGAATCGACTATCGTTTATTTTCGAGCCCACAGAAGCTGCCTGTAATCTGTCATCGCGGTGTGACGATCGACTCGAGATCTCCTCGCGCGCACAGTGCAACGTTGTTGAGGCCCTCGGGCTCTCGGTTTTCTTGCACTTCGCAATCGGTAACTTCATCACGACGACCAAGAGAATTCAACACTTGCGAGCCAACAAGGCGAGATCTGATAGACCCACGTCTCAATATAATTGAATACTGAAGTTACACCCGCGTAATTTGTTTTCTCGTGAAATACTGAAATATTTGATTTAAAAAAAAATGCTGCTTCGCGGGGCTTTCTCGAGTACGCAATAGCTAACTATAAATTACTGGGATATACTCTGTAAAAAATGGAGTCCATAGGACAAACGCATAGTGTATATGCGTCACGTAAAGTAGGTTTCGTACTATAGGGTCAATGCCTTGGTTTCGCGTATCGCGGACATCCCTCCGATCGGTTTTGCCCTGTCAAATAAAATACCTCTGTTTCAATAGTGCCTAGCGGCGTCCGTACACGTAGAAATAAGACTTCAACAATTCGACAGGCTGGCGAGAAGTTTGATTCTCGCGAATTACGGAATGCAGATTTATCGGTGCGTTATCTAGATGGAAATCTGCACGCGGGGCGGAAAATAATATAAGCCGCGGCTGTAAATTTATTCGCCACTCGATACTTCGTTTCGTCTCACAGTATATCAGTTTTCAAATCGCGATTCCCGTTCGCCCGGCAAAATGCGTGTCTAATGCGCCTAATGGATAATCCGACACCTGATAACGCGTCGTATTAACGGCCGGCGTGCGGAATGGAGGACGAGTTTCTCGCGGAGAAATCCGTATTTTCCTCCCAACGATTACAGAGCCGTTGCGCCGAAAGGGTCAAACCGGCCCTGTCGATGGGCAAAAAGCTCGCGCCGCTCTAAGCGCGGTGTAGAGCAACGTACTCGCGACGACGCGGCCCCGCGATCCAGGCTATCTCCCGGAAGCACGGTGAGATTAATGTTATGACAAGAAAAACCTGCCGCTTCTCGACGAATTGCGACAATGCAATGGGCCGTGGAGACCGTGGTTGCAACTCCCGAAGGCACACGGCTCCGCCAAAAAGCCTCCTTCCTCAGGAAGCCGATGGCAATTTAACGCTTTTTACACGCCATGAAAAAATTGTCAACTTATCGGTTTTTAATTAATAAAGAGAGCAAAACGGGCCCGTTACGTAAGCAAGGGGAAAATTTAAACTAGATTAATTTCACGTTAATTTACAAGACGCACGCGTCGAGTATCAATGAATAATATTGTACACGGAGAGAATTCTTTTTTAATTTCTCTTGAAAATTAGGTAATCGTGAGACAACACGGCATTTCGAAGAATTTCACGAGAGTTTTTGAAACTTTGCAATACATTTTACTAGTAAAACGTATACTAAGTATAGTAAAATGTATGGTAAAAGTTAAAAAAAACTCTCATAAAGTTGTTCAAAATGTCACGTTATCCCACGATCACATGATTCTCAGGATAAATTTTAAGAACAAATTTTCCCCGTGTATAAAATTTGACACATAAGGACTCTCTCTCGATGTTAAAATTAACAAGCTACTCTCTAAAAGTCAATCAGTGAATTATCACTGAAAACAGTGCGTAGTCACTGATTTACAATTATACATATATGTATAAGTGTACACAGTAAAAAATTAAATGTTGACGTTAACATCTTTTACACGTCCCAAAAAGTCCACTCTAAATTTGAAATTAAAATAACATTTATCGCGTGTGTTACTTTTTGACAAATTATCAATGTTAATTAATCAACCCTATACTTCACATTTGTGTTGGTTCTTTCAACCTTAAGTGTGATGTAATAAAAACAGGATAAGTGAACTGTACGAATAGTCACAAATCGGAATAGTTGAAATAATTTTTAAGAAATGTCGATATTACATGTTTCGGTTGATTTTGTGAAATAGTTGTGTTAAAAGAACTCAAAATAATATTCAATTTTTGACTAACATACATAAAGTGTCAAGTTATTATCTTAATATAAATATTACACATAAAAGTGTTACGAAAATAATGACATATACATTTTGTGTTAATTTTACATTGAAGTAAGAATCAAATCTTGGTAACACAAAACAATTTTAACATTTAAACACGCGATCTTTTACTGTGTACCACTGGAAATCGCAGTGGTATACTTGCGACTGCGAATCAGTGAGTGTTCACTCTTTGCAATGATAATCTACTGATTGACTTTTAGAGTAAGTAATAATACAGCATCGTGCAAATATGCATCTGTATATGTTTTCTTTCAATCCGATCGTTTTGCATTCCCGCATTATAATCTTTTTCCTAAAAACAGTCGACTCGTACAGATAACGCATTTATTCAGTTTCGCTGAAAAAGAGCTGACCCAGTTTTACACGCCGTATTTTCTTTGAGAAATGTACGCAGTTAACCAACCGCCGGGGCCATCGTGTGAATGAAAAAATTGTTTCGAGTGCATCGACTCGCTCTCCTCGGCTTTGTTGCTTGCGCTTTGTTTTGCACGTTCCATTCACTCGAATCGACCATGCAAATCTGAATTTTCGCACGTTGCGCCGCTTCCGATTCGAGTTTCTCCGTTTATCAAGAAATAGCGTACTTTATAGATATTTAGGCCACTTTCCCAATTATACTAATCTAAACAGCACACGTAGAAATCTACAGTGTACCTCTCTTTTCCAAAAATGGCAAATATCCACGAAGAACGTTTATTTAAAGGCACAATTTAAAAATTATTATCTTTTCTGTGCAACAGCGTGAGAATTTACACATAACGCGGCAAACATGTTGCTTAAGACTACGGATTAATCGACGGACGTTTGACACCACTGACACAGTGAGTCACTTCCTTGTTTAACATTCGACAAACAACAAATAGAAACTGCCATGTACGAATATGTCTAAACAAAATAATGTAATACAAGCACCTTTTGACCAATAAAGGGTGTTTTTCCGCAAGGGACACCATTGAATCATTTCATCCTATTGCGACAAATATTACCGCATGCTTCAGTGGTCGAATTGGTGAGATTCCCGCCTAGAGAGTAAGGGAGGTCCAGGTTCAAACCCTGGCTGAGGTAATATTTTTCGCAATAAATATTCTGCATTAACCGATTAATTAACAAATGTGGCCAGCTGCGGTCGAAAGAAACTTGGAATTTTATTATTATACTGGCAATTTGAAGAAACTAACATTTCATCCTTGTTTAACAATCGGCAAACGAGAATGAAACGAGCCACTGTGTCATTTGCGTCTCTCGCCGGGAACCGCTCAAAGTGTTCAACGCACATTTTACTGAAACTGCGATAACGTCGAGAATTTTCTCGGTGAAAATGTACACGTTACGTCTCCGTCGTCGAGCGACTTCCTGCGCTTCAGCCCGCGGAATGCGCGAGAGCGTGCGAGCGGTTCGTCGCGAAGAACGCGTGCGGATTCACTGCGGCGAAAACTCGAATCGCGCGCTTCGCCGCGCGCGGCGATTTGAACCGTCGCGCTCGACAAGAGGAACAGACGGGCCTCTGTATTTTAAATAGTGCATCATCTCGGCGCGTGCATCCAGAGGCTCCGTTCTCTCGCTGCAACGAGAGCCGTTCGTTCAACTTCCCCCCCGATCGATTCTCCCAAAGGAATTTATCTCTACGGGCCTGAGTTCCCGGACGTTTAAAATCGACCGCGACGTTTCGAACGTCCCCGCCTCCCCCGCCGTGCACTTTCTAGGCACCCGAGCGGCTTCTTAACGACGCCGCTAAATGCCGCGCGTGAACGCGAAGTGAAACGGAGGTGACTAGTGGACAGCCTTGGTCGTGAGAATTAAGGAGGAGAAAAAAATCGCGCGAGATAGAAGGAAAATGGATTTCAAGATCGGAGAAAATGGCGCTTTGCAGCACGAGGATTTTGTACTTTCTATCGACGTGGTTTTCGGTGCCGTCAACTAGCGACACGGCGGGTGTGTCTCGTCGGTTATTTTATATTTCGTGTTTCGTTTTTACATGATAATTTATTTTAATATACTCGCAGTAACACCGGCGCTCGACTCTATTGCCTGTTCATTTCGATTGACAAATAAATAGAATTAAGAAACGGAAATACATGAAATTAATTTCCAAAAGAAACGAACGTCTCGACACACATCGTCTGGCTGATGGCAGAGAACAATCCGTAAACGCTTAAGACTGTCTCAGTCGTAGACGTAGGGCAAGGCAGAGAGAAACGTAAGTCGTATACGATTATAGCCTTTCACGACTTACGTTTCTCTCTGCCTTGTCCTACGTCTACGACTAAACCAGTCTTAAGCGTTTACAGATTGTTCTCTGCCATCAGCCTCTTCCTCGGCGTAACAGATGATCGCCAAACCAAAATTAATTACCTTCAGCTCCTCACGGAAGTGTCATGTTCGCTATCGGCCTCGAGTCCTCACGAGGTGAAATCCTCGCCGGCGCCGCTCCCTTCCTTCGCCTCCGACTGGGAAAAGGAGAAAGAAAGAATGCGAGACTTCAAGAGAGAGAGAGAAAAAAAGAAGCGGGAAAGTCAACCGATCACATTTTGCGTTTACGCGCGCGCGCGCACTCGACCGCGAGCGACAATCGTTCGGACCGGCGAGCCTTTCGCACACCCGCGTGAGAGGAAACCGGACGCGCGTCCGCCGCGCAACCGACGTGGTCGCGTGTTGCGTACGAATGGTCTCGCGCGGCTCCGCTTCGGCCCGACTCGGCGCGGCCAGGCACGGCGGGGCCGCGTCGCGGCTCACTTCACCCCGGTCGTTGCGTACACACGCGCCGCGGCCGGCCAATCCGGGACGCCGAGCGACGCGCCGGCCGGCCAATCCGCGCGCCGGCCGTTCACGCGCCGTCGCGATTCACCCGGGCAACGGCGCGTAAACGAAGTTCTCGCCGTGTCGCGCCCGGCCCGGCGACGTCGATACACTGTCGACGGAGACTTTGCGAGAATCCTGCGACTCTCTGCACATCCACCTGTTTCCCCCCCCCTTCCTTAACTCTTTCGTGATTTTTAATAGGGTTTTTTAACGGCTTGTTCCGAGGTTGTAAATGTCAAAACTCTACGTGGATTGTTTACGTGTTGTTTACACGAACTTTTTTTATACGGTACGTAAACAACGTTAATGATGTAAATTATAAATTGGATAACAAAGTGCAGAGAAGCGTAAACTTTTATTACGTTACGAGTATGAAGTCGAAATGTGATTACTATTCTAAATTGTGTCCAAACTAGTGACCGAAAATAACACAGATAAGGATAGAAATTTCTGAGTGAAAATGAATCTTCGATGATCCATAGATTACGTATTATTTACGTAGGTGACACGATAATCATATCCTAGTAGCACAATATATTGGCGCAATAGTGGGAAATAATGTAAATCTATAAGCATTCCCAATATTGGCCCAATATTGTAAGATGGCCGTCTCTTATTTAGCCAATCTGTCTATTCAGCAAAGTTGGTTTAATATCGTACCAATGTTTGGAATAGTAAATTTATATTATTTTCCAATATTGCGCCAATATATCCTTAAATTTTCTGGAAGATATTCCGGTAATAAACGTTAAATGACAGACGCTCTAATGAGAATAGATTCTCTTGCGATGTTAAAAAATCAAGATAAGTTTGAATATTTACAAGATATTTCTGAATTGCATTGACATCGCAACCATTGCACGCTGAATAATGAAAATAGCATAAAGTTACGCATAATGACGCGATCCTGGCAACACAATGCGAATCGTTTGAATAAATAACGTAAAAACACAGAACAGATGCTTTATTTTGCACAAGTAGCAAATAACATCCAAATGTAAGACACTTGCCTCACGATTTCTCCGCCGTTGCCCGATGCCTCCTGGGCCTCCTCCTCCTCCTCTCAGATTTCCTTGTTGCACTTACACAACACTCACTCGCGAAAATCATCGATTGCACGAAATTTCGGGCACTCCCGTACGCGATGTGAAATACCGCGAAACGCACGAAATATTATTAAAAAATATCGCGTGACTCTCAATCATACAAATTGCTCACACTAACGACTTGCATTTTTGATTCGAAAGAATGGATAAATCACTATTGAATTGGCGATATAAAACGCAACGCGAGCATCGGAAGCACAATCTGCGGTAGTTATTAGTCCGCAACGAAACGATATTTTACAACAACAAAAGATGATGATGTCGACGATAACTGGCACATATGTTTATTTAAAACACTACGTTTCGACTAGTAATACTAGTCCTTTTCAAGTAATAGCCCATTAAATGTGACAGCAAGAAATCTATAAATTATAAATTAAGTGTTCGGAAATGTATATAAGATATTATCGCACAGAGAAAACAACTTAATACTTACGGGTGACATATTGAGCGTACGCTTTATAAAGAAAAAGGCGCAGTAAATTAATATGCACATGTTACTTCAAATTGAAATTAATGTAAGTCACTAAGAACGTCTATTCGTATAAAAAGCTTGTGGAAGACTAAAAGCGCTGAGTTGTCAAGAGATCAACATTCGTTGGGAGTCAAAGTATAACGACGTGTGGGGATGACAAAGAAATAAATAATTACAAAACATTAGGTGGTGCGCACAATTTTGTCATATATAAGGACTAGTATTACTAGTCGAAACGTAGTGTTTTAAACAAACATATGTGTCAGTTATCGTCGACATCATCTTTCGTTATTTTTCTTCACCCACTGGCGATCCACCTTCTCCAAGTTTGATATTTTACAATCTTTGGCATTCAATCTAATCCTCGAAATAAATTATGTGAGCGAAATTTCCAGTGATAAATAGTTCTTATTAGTTGCAACAGTTAATCGAAATATTTTTCGATTACATTTACGTAATGTAACGACGTGCAATAAGCGACTTTCTTTACTTCCCGCCCGTTCGAGTTACGAAGAACGACAGAGTGAATTACAGCGCGAACGCCGAAGTGGCACAAATTTCTCTCTTCCCGAAAATGGAACAGATTATACTAAACCGATAGATAATTAAAAGCGCGGTGCGTAAACGAGATGTAACCACGACAAAGTACCCCGCTTTACATTCATACTTTAGATGAGTTAGTCTCAAATATCTATGTATACGTTGATAAAGAGCCGTCGCCTCAACATGCAATTCGTTTCTTATTACAAGTTGTAGAAACTTAATAATTAATCGAGGAACGTTACTTGTTACTAATAAAGGTGTGCAAATCAATAGTGTTTTATCCCTGCATTCGTCGCGATCGAGTCTCGGAAACCGATAACGCAAAAGTAATAACACGCACGGAGCGACTCTCGCCACTGCCTGCCGGCTCGACGTTCGGCGAGCGAGTGATAGCGCCGCCGGCGACCTTCAGGTACGCGATGGCACGCAAAAACGTCGTACGTCACCGCGCCGAGTGAAAAACAACCAAAAAAAACGTTGAGAATTCGTTGGCCTGCCTACGCAATGGAAAATTTCGTACTTAATATTTTATTGTACATTACTTTGTTCCGTGACTGTTGCTACGTTTTGCGTATTATTCCGCGGACTTAATATTGGTATTGATTAAATTAACGATTAATTCTGTGCAATCGAGAAAATGTATCGGAACAAAAATCGTTGTTACTTAAATTCTAATTATAGCTAATAATAGCTTTAGCTAATCATAATTTGCTAAAAATATTTGGCTGCATTAACTATACATTTCTAAACCACAGCAAACAATCGTATACAATAAGCACAGTAGCGAAATATTAGCTATTGCAACTGAATATAATATTACCTGTCCATATTTTACAACTGAAATTTAGTTACCGCATGCAGTTTTTAGCTACGGCAGCTACATTTTTTCCCCGTGCAGATGTGTAACTTTTACGATATTTAAATGACAAACGTTATAATTCCGTCACGAAAGAACGCAAAAGGTATCTCTATTTTATTGAACCGTGATTGAAGAAAATATTATTCTTTCTAGTGTTATTGGCGTACACACTCTGTATTTATGCTATCCGTGTAACGTGCTATGAACTCCACGTACGTTCTGCTTGACACGCGCGAGTTGAATCGGCGCGACGTCTGATAAACGCCTCGTAACCGCGTATTAATTTTTCAACGCCACCTCACACCGGCGATGAGCTTTCGCGAATATAACTTGTAACACGGTTAACAACACTATCGCCAGTGACTTGAGAGAACTTACGGCGCTGGTACATCGATCTCCGTCGGACAAGGTTTCCTCAAAGGTATCTTTATTTTATAGGAGAAGACGGAATATGCAATTGTCGCAAACTAGTGTGAACATTTTATACTCTCTTTTCTCAGAACTGTAAGAAAGGAAAAAAGTATAAAGCTGTTTCACACGTCGGTTTACAATAATAGCATTCTGCCTTCTTTTCCTTTGAGTGAAATAAATGTTTCTGAAGGGATCCAGTTTGCAAAGTTTATTGAAGGCAAACGGTAGAGACACCTTTGACGAAACGTTAGTCGTCGGAAAGTCAATAAGTTATTTGAATAAGGTATCTGCTGGTTTTAAAACATGCGCTACGGTAGATCAGTTGGTTTTGTATGCCGCGCTATTTTCATCTCGTCATTTAAAATTTATAATTTTTTATTTTATCACGTCGTCCCCTAGTAGCACAGTGCATATTTAGTTGTACTGGGCCAATCCCAGTGAGAAATGATTCGTCGATCGACGTCGAAATGATGTCGAATCGACGTCAATTCGATGGTGTCGATTCGACGTCGATTGACGAATCATTTCTCACTGGGATGTTTGGCCAACGCACTGCGCTCTAAGATCACGTCATTATGCGTAACTTTATGCTATTTTCATTATTCAACATGCAATGTTTGCATTGTCAGTTCATTTCAGAAATATCTTGTGAATATTCAAATTTATTTTGACTTTTCAACGTCGCAAGCCAATCTGTTCTTATGAGTAGAGCGTCTTTCATTTAACGTTTATTACCATCGGAATATCTTGCAGAAAATTTAAGGATATTCCATACAGCACACAAATGTTGTGCGCTTCCCGCTTTACTGAGCGAACGGACGTAGTTGACGTCCACTTTTTCAAGGTGTGCATTTGTTTCCGAGCTAGAAGACTCGAATGGCCGCTACTCGAGCACGAACAGCTCTCGATGAACGTACGGGGATGACTGGATTATTTTGCGTTGCCATTTTATTCCTGTAAGGTATGGATGAATAATATATTTACCTCTGAAAATCTCCATTTGTTTTGTTAGATAACCGAGCCGTGTGAACTGAAAATTAGATGATTCAGAATTCGATTCTTGAATTTATTCGAAGAAGAAACATATACGAAAACTGCTGTGACAGAAAAGTTGAAAGTCCATTGGTTAAAGCCATGCGAGTAGCCAATCAACTTGCAACTTTTTTTTGTAAGAGCAGAATTTTCGCATACGTTTCTCCTTCGAACAAATTCAAGAATCGAGCCCCAGTTTGTCTCTTGTCTCGCGAGGTCAGCGGCATTAGGGTGAAACCACACGGTACGGGAATCCGCGTGCGCGACAGAGGATGCGCGATTCGAACAGCCAATCAGTGCTCTCCCACATTTTTCTATCCCGCGCCGATTGGCTGTTCGAGTCACGCATCCTCCGTCCCGCACGCGGATTCCCGTACCGTGTGAACTCGCCCTTACGTCAAACGTCAAACAAACGTCGAGCGCAGCCCGGAACGGTCATTCCGGCGAGATGAATTTCGGAAGGGTGGCTAGCATTAATGTTTTTCGCAAAGTGCAACAGCTCGGTAAGTCTCGCGCGCGTCTCCGACAGTCTCGAGTGCTTCGTGTTGCAAGTTCGATATTGAATTTTTCGGATACCTAACCTCAAAATGCGTTTTACATAATCTCTCAATGAACGGAGAACATACCGCGTACCGAATCTCAATTGAGTTTCTCTGAGTAACGAAGTCGCCAATGTTACTCGACATTTTTTGTTTATTTTATTATTACTATGTCATTTCACTTTACTGTATATTTTACCAACGCATTTTGTATTACACAGTTTTATTTATTTGTGAATTAAGCGAAGGTAAAATTATGGCAATCGATGATTCTGTTGCAGAGACGTTGGTCAAGCCCGGTGGCTTACTCGTGCGAAGCTGCAATCGAACGCAATTCCCCAAGTCCGCGTCGAGTCTCGCGAGTCTGAACCGCTCTGTGATTGCTAGGGCGAGCAATCCAAAATGCCACGTTCTGTCCAAGGTTGGCAATTAGGGCATTCTACTTATTTTTTAAGGAAAATAGAGATTGGAGTGTACGCTCAGACAATGTACTTTACCGCTGTATTTCTCTCAGCTGCCTGCACAATTGACGGTCAGCATCGCCCAGACTCGCGCGGCGAGCGCTCACGGCGATCACGTACGCTTGTGGATGATGGAGAAAATAGTATCCGCATCCTTCTTGGCGCTGATACCCGCCGCCCTGGTCTTTGAAAACAAATTTTTCGACATATTACTGGCGGTTGCTATTGTCACGCACACACATTGGTAATTGATATTCTCCAGCGGTTTAACGTGCTCTCCTTTTCAATTTCTATGGAGAATACGAATGGGAGAATAATTTAATTTGATTACGCAGGGGAGTGGAAGCTATCGTTGTCGATTACGTGCGGCCGGTCATCGTAGGTAACTTTGTTCCGAAAGTGGCGATCTTCATGCTGACTCTATTATCCGCGGCTACTCTCGCCGGCCTGCTTGTGCTCATCTACAACGGCCCTGGTCTTACGAAGATCGTTAAAAATGGCTGGGCAGTAGGTAAAGATAGGCAGAAGGCCAGTTAAACGTCGCCATTACAGCAGAAATGTTTGTGTTGTACGTATGAAGGTCTTGTTAAGATGGTAGCTTGTATAAATTATCTCGGAATAAATTATTTACTTATTCAACAGCAACTTTTTCTCTCTACGCCACCTAACTTGTCGCGTGCTACTTGCAAATTGAATTAGTGAGTTGGATGTCTGTTCTATCTAGAGAAGGATGTGAAGGATCTTGCAGAGGAGTGCAATTTATAGTATGTGCATATGTGAGCCAGAAACGGAAAGATGTAACTGATGCCATCAACATTTATGCTACAAATCAATGATAAACAATATTTGTTTCGTTATTGTCATTACACTCGTAATAAATTTACAAGCAGAAGTCGGGTGGATCGACAAGCGAGTCAAATGAGATTTAATTGCCAGCGGAGGCAGCAGCCTTGTCGATGAAGGCCGCCAACTTCACATCCCTCTGCGACAACCCGTTCACGTCGTGGGACGACAGGGTAATGTTTACTTTATTGTAAACATTGAACCACTCGGGGTGGTGGTCCATTTTTTCGGCTTGTAAAGCTATCTTCGTCATAAATCCGAAGGCCTAGAGATTGAAATGCACCGTCAGGTGGCTGGGCAAGCTCGTAACTGCCGTAAACAGCTAACGTAACTTGATCGTACCTCATTGAAGTTGTTGAATACAAACTCCTTGTAAATCGCGTCCCTGTTCGCTTGGACGGTCCATCCGGTCGACAGCAACGGGCTCAGTTTCTGCTCTCTCTCCTCCGCAGTTAGTTTGCCCTGACAAGGAACGACAAAGTGACTTTTGTAAATTGTCACAATTTAATCTTTCATACAATCAACATACATAACGATTCAATTCACAATTTCCTTAGTTCTCTTCTCATTTGCGACGAACAGTAGCGCCTTTATATAATTCTCATCTTTATTACCACCTCGCAAATAGATTTAATATCGCCAGTAGTGTAAAACCAATGATATTAAAAAAACTACCCACACTCGCAGATAACATGCATGTCTAAAAGACATCTTTAAGATGTCTTTAACACGTCTTTAAAGG